GCAACCTCTGCCTCCTGGGTTCATGTGATTGTCTTGCCTCAGCCTTCCAAGTAGCTGGGACTACAGGCATGTGCCACCACACTGGGCTGGTTCATGTGATTGTCTTGCCTCAGCCTTCCAAGTAGCTGGGACTACAGGCATGTGCCACCACGCTGGGCTAATTTTTGTATTTTTAGTAGAGATGGGGTTTCCCCATGTTGGCCAGGCTGGTCTCAAACTCCTGACCTTGGGTGATCCACCTACCTCAACTTCCCAAAGTGCTGGATTACAGGCGTGAGCCACAGTGCCTGGCCTGAAATGAATCTTGACAATACCATTGGTATAGGACAAATTAGCAATTGGTTAGGCCCATAAAATTAATTAAAGTGGGTGCCATCTTTTCCCACTCCATCCTGATGAACAAGTTCTTGACCTACATTTTCTACAGTGCCATTGGCCTAACTCATATTCCTAACCCTGCAAGATCCAGACCTGCCTCCTCCACAGTCAGATATATGAAGATCATGAAATTAGACAGCAGTCCAGTTCTCACCTTACAGATTTTATGACAATTAAAAAATCATCACGTATCATAGTTCCAGAGGTACTTCCCCAAAAGTTGTCACAACTTGGTGACTCAATATGATCTAGTAATTGTAAAGCAGAAAATTTTGATATATTCAAGAAATTTGGCAGATCATAATCTTTGATGATATGTTTATGCTGAAATTTGCAAGCTAGGCAGTTTAATTTTTTCTGAGACGGAGTCTCGCTCTGTTGCCAGGCTGGAGTGCAGTGGCGTGATCTTGGCTCATTGCAACCTCTGCCTCCCAGGTTCAAGTGATTCTCCTGCCTCAGCCTCCCAAGTAGGTGGGATTACTGGTGTGTGCCACCACACCCAGCTAATTTTTGTATTTTTAGTAGAAACGGGGTTTCACCATATTGGCCAGGATAGTCTCGATTTCTTGACCTCGTGATCCGCCCACCTTGGCCTCCCAAAGTGCTGGGATTATGGGTGTGAGCCACCATGCCTGGCCCAGTTTAATATTTTTTAAGTCTTCATCTACGGCTCATCTCCTAGGTAACTGCTTCCTAAACCACACTCTTAGAGCTTTTTTGTGATCTACTGTTGACTTCCATTAAATATCTGATCCACCTTTTCATCATCATCAGGGCCCAAACAAAGCTGGTGAGGTGTCTCTTTGTGTAAATAAAGTTTGTTTGTTGGTTTGTTTTTGGAGACAGGGTCTTACTCTTCCACCCAGGCTGAAATACAGTGGCACAATCATTGCTCCACTGCAGCCTTGACCCCCAGGGCCCAAGCAATCCTCCCACCTCAGCCTCCCAAGTAGCTGAGACTACCGGTATGCCTGGCTAATTTTTTATTTTTTTTGTAGAGACAGGGTTTCACTGTGTTGCCTAAGCTGATCTCAGACTCTTGGGCTCAAGTAATTCTCCTGCCTTGGCCTCCCAAAGTGCTGAGATTACAGGTGTGAGCCACTGCACCTGGCCTAAATAAAGTTTTATTGGAACACTAACACACCTAATAGTTTAAGTCTTATCTATGTATGGCTGTTTTCTTGCTATAACAGTAGAGGTGAATAGGTGTGAAAGACAACGCATAACCTACAAACCTAAAATATTTACCATCTGGCCATTACAGAATAAGTTGTTGACCTTTGCTGTATATTCTGAACTTGTGATCCGCCCGACTCGGCCTCCCAAAGTGCTGGGATTACAGGCTTGAGCCACCGCGCCCTGCAGTTTTTCTACTTTTTTCCTCTTTTTTTTGAGACATGTCTCACTTCTGTTGCCCAGGCTGGAGTGCAGTGATACAATGATGGCTCACTGCAACCTGGATTGCCCCTGGGCTCAGGGGATCTTCCTACCCCAACCTCCCTAGTATCTGGTACCACAGGTGTATGCCACCATGCCCAGCTAATTTTTCCATTTTTTGTAGAGGTGGAGGTTTCACCCAGGCCGGTCTTGAACTCTTGGCTTAGGCAATCTGCTGTCTCGCCTCCCAAAGTGCTGGGATTACAGGTGTGAGCCACCTTGCCCAGCTGTATTCTTCCTTACTGACATATGGTATACTTATGAAGAAGAATCAACTAGTGTCCTTATAATATCCTCAATCTCAGGTGTTCTCGAAAGCATATCTAGGGAAATATTTTTGTTCTATCTGTGCTCTTTTAATTCTCTGACGATTCTTTCTTTTCTTCTGTACCCTTAACAGTTTAGTCCTCTTCATCTTTAAAACAACCGACTTTGGCCAGGTAAGGTGGCTCATGCTTGTAATCCTAGCACTCTGGGAGGCCGAGGCAGGCAGATCACAAGGTCAGGAGTCAAGACCATCCTGGCTAACATGGGGAAACCCTCTCTCTACTAAAAATAAAAAAAAAAAAAAAAATAAAAAAAATTAGCTGGGCGTGATGGTGGGCCCCTGTAGTCCCAGCTAGTCGGGAGGCTGAGGCAGGAGAATGGCATGAAATTTGCAGTGAGCCGGGAGGCGGAGCTTGCAGTGAGCTGAGATCCGGCCACTGCACTCCAGCCTGGCTAACATGGGGAAACCCTCTCTCTACTAAAAATAAAAAAAAAAAAATAAATAAAAAAAATTAGCTGGGCGTGATGGTGGGCCCCTGTAGTCCCAGCTAGTCGGGAGGCTGAGGCAGGAGAATGGCATGAAATTTGCAGTGAGCTGAGATTGTGCCACTGTACTCCAGCCTGGGCGACAGAGCGAGACTGCATCTTAAAAAATAAATAAAAAATAAAATAACCAACCTTTTTTAATGAGTGGGAGGGAGAGGGATTATGGTTTTTTTCACCTACAGTTTGAACGCATTTGCACACACACCTGCATGTACTTAATGCAGAGATGCAAGGTGCCAAGTACACACACAAAAATCAGGATTTTGTGTCCTTTTATTTCCTTTCTACTGAGTCCTGTCAGTTTCATATTTGCTGTTGTCATAGAAGTCTGTTTTGTAAAAACTGTCTGATATGGTTGAGGAGAGCTGATGAAGGGAAATGGAGAAGGTGCAGATCCCCCCTGATTTGGTCACTGGATTCTGTAAGCAGAGCAGCCACTCATCAGGAGGCTGAGTAGTTAAGCTGTACTTGAAGAAGAACAGGAATGGTAATACCCCATTGCTGCCTTTTTGCAGTCTAAATGCCCTGTGGAGTGAGAGAAAACTTCAGTCCCTAGGCTTGTGAATCCCTTATCTTTCCCAAACGTTAAATTAATTTTTAAGACTATTTATTCAAAGTTGACTTAACCACTAGAATAGGGAAGATCAGACAAATCAGCTGCAAGAAATGAAGTATGAGAAAACCCGAACTCTCTGACAAAGTATTCCTGGGAGTAAATGTGTTGAATGAAGCCAGCGGGTAAATGATAAGGGCCTTTACACTGTGGATGTAAGAAAGCAATTTATCAAGAGTACATGAACTCTCTAGTGACCACAAGTCAGGAGGAAATGAGAGTGGAGGAGGAGCCCTGAAAAAATACATGTGAAATACTAAAAAATCTGTGTGCACGCACTTTTAAATTCTTTCATTATTATGCAGTAATATTGGTGTAGTAAAATAGGAGTTGCTGAGAATGCACATGCAGTGTAGCCCATACCGTTAGGGATAAGGTGTTAGGAAAAGCAACTGAGAAAGGCCACACAGTAGTTTAGAATTTGCAGAAACCTTAGGTACATAACTTAGGTGTAGTTATCACTTGAGCCTAGATGTTGCTGATACCCATTTGCCTGACTCATGAGGTTAGATGACCATCCTTCAGACTTATGTGTTCGTCTTGTTTAATTCCTCAATGGGTATATGCATATAATTCTGACAGTTCTGAATGCCTTTTGTGTTCTCTTAAGGAGTTTAGAGTGCCTCTCACTCATTATCTCACTAATCTTTGCAGCAGCTCTTTAAGCCCTACAGATAAGACAGTGTTATTGTTTGAGAAACTGAGGCAAAATGTAATTATATTATCAGCAATAGGGTGTGCAGCAACTCAGATATGGATGGGAACTAGAATTTGTGACCTTATTTTGGCATTTAGTTCTACAGAAGAGATAGTGTTTTCTTAAATTTGAGGAGAAAAAGCACCCAATTGTTGAAATTTCCATTGTATTGAAAGTGTTGACTCTGGGAATGGTCATCCTCAGCGTTTTCTACTGAGATAACACAGCTAAGATACACCAGAAATTCCCACATGTTGTCTTGTCATTTGTTTCCATTTTCATCTGTACCCTTAGAGCTATTAACAAAGTGACTTGTTATTTCTTTCTTTTTAAAATTATGACTTTAATTTTCTTTCCTTTGTATCCTGAATAAGTTTCAGCAAACATGCCAGTGAACACAAAAGCTATCTAACAGGTGACTAACGAGAGAAATTGGGAGAACTAGGTTTTTGGATAACCCACTATAGCTAATATGACTTGACTTAAATTACTAACCCTCCACACGGATGTCAGCTTTCCTTATTTCCTCCAAATTAGGTCTTTTACCCCTATCGTCTAAAGAACACTCTCTTCTTCCTCAAACCATTTAGGTATTATAACAGGTAAATCTTATTCAGAAAAGTGATAATTGAGCCTCCCTGTATGGCATAAGTTAGGAATTGTTTTGTTTTGTTTTTGGTAGGGGGTGGGGGACACTATCGTAACTTGAGTTGAACCACAGTTCACTTAACAAATCAATGAGGTTTTTAGCACCAGCCACGGTCATTTAAAAACATCCTCAGTGGCTCTTTATCTTAAAGTTGAAGGTGTTTTGTATTTGTTGTTGCCTGCAATTTATAAACACATCCAATTTAAAAAATAGGAAAGAAAAGGGGTAAAACAGAAAGGAGATGTCAGAGAACTATTTTCTTTGCAGGATCTTGCTTAAACACGTATGGCAAACATTCATGTGTAGAAATGGAGCCCTGGTAACTTCCAGCGATATTTCTAACTCCTGTTCTCTCTCTTTATCTCTTTATTTCCAACACCCCCATCTCTGAAACTTTGGCGGGACCACCACAGCCTTGGATAAGCTCAGCACGCAGCACCTGTACCACCCCACCCAAGTGGAGATTGTGCAGTCCAACGTCGTGTTTGACATCAGCAGCCTGATGCTCTATGGAACACAAGCGGTGCCTGTGCGGCTAAAGATCCTGCTGGACCGTCTCTTCAGTGTCCTGAAGCAAGAGGAGGTGCTGCACATACTGCACGGCCTTGGCTGGACTCTGCGGGACTATGTCCGAGGATACATCCTTCAGGTAGGGGGAGGACTTGAACGCCGCCGCTGTCCGGGGCCGGCTCTGGGTGGGGAAGGGTGAGAGCCCTTGGCAAACCTCACAGGAAGGGCTGCACACCCTCCTCTGGTTAAAGTGGTCATTTCAGCAGGCTTGTCTGGGAAGGGGAAAGAAGGAGAGAGACAAAGCAGACCACCATCGGACCTCAGGGTGTATTACAAGGAAAACATGGCCTCTTGACTCGCGTTACCTTTGTTTGCACCTTTTTGAATTTAACTCTTTCTCTACAACATGGGTTTTCTGCTTCTCCAACAAGTCTTATTATAGCCCTATTAAAAAGGAGGGCCCTTTGAGGCGGGTGATGGGTGTGTGAAAATCTGAGATTACCCTGCACTTGGGTTTATTAGGGCTTTGTCTCATACTCAGTTTGCAGGTACGGTGTTTTTCTTGGTAGTCGTTGTAACTAAAGGCACACATTTTACTATTTATTGTTTTTTCAGCCAAATCAAAGGTAGAACTATAATCCATATAAACTTATATAACCAGTAAACCCTCACATCATAGCCTTCAGATTTCTGCATTCTGAAACACACAGACATGGTTTTAGATTTGGTCTTTGCAGAACCTGTTCTTCCAGCCTTGAGTGTCCGTTTGTATCAATGGCACTTCTGATCTGGTTAAGGGCTTTAAGAGTTTTCTGGGAGGCCCACAGCCTTCATGCACCCCCATCTCCCATCCCTCCCTTTCTTCATCTCATTTTTGCAATGTGTCATGTGTCATTTGCATTGTATACTTTGCTTCTGAAATGTGTTTATGGCTGTCTGTCTTCCTACAACCCTTGAGGGGTCAATGTTGAGAGCAGCATTTTGGGAGACCCCAGGATCCAAAGAGGCTACACTGGATGATGAAGAAATACCCCTCCCGCCGAAGGAGATCTCAATTGGAGAAGGTAGAATCTGAAGCAATTTTTCAAATTTCCCATGAGGATAATACCAGGAGACATGACCCCTTCAAAAACAATTGGTTTTGGCTGTGCCAGCTTTGTGTAGTGCTAGAGATATCTCCACTGTTTATTCCCTGGGCTACTGTGTGTTACATGAAGGGCATTGGCTGCCAGCTTGGCATGTGAGGGGTGGGGAGTCTCAGTCTACCTCTCTCTTTAACCTGGCATCAGTACACACAGATTCTTGTCATTTTCCTGTGTGGTACCTCTAGCTGTTAGCTGTGACAGGAGAGCAATGGAAGGATAGTGAGTAGAAGCAGGGAAAGGTAAGGGAGGTGGAATAACCTGTCTGCTCTCAGAATAGGATGGCATCTTAATTTAGTGTGAATCTCAACTGGGAAGACACAGAAAATTTGGCCCTCAAAAGATGAGATGATGGTGATAATACTAGCAATTGTATATTATGTTTTCAGTTTATAGAGCTTGTTTACAAGCATCTCATTTGACTCAAGATGGGGACATGTCAGTGGGTTATAGTAGGAAAGTAAGTCTTGGACAGTCAGGGAGCATGAGGGGGAACAAGGTCTAGGAGGAAGGGGCCAGGAAAAATAAATAAGGAACTGGTTTCACAATCCCTGCTTATACTGGCCCCAAGATGTATACAGTGCTACATCTTTCTACAATCATTTCCACAACATGATTATTAATATCTGTTTTGAATGGATTTTACCCTGCACAAAGAGAAAAACCTCTTACAGTTGTTTGTATGGAACTGTTTGCTTGGCTAACAGTCCTTTCTTTATTCCAAACCAACAAGTGTTTTGCCCCAATCTGGTACCATCTTTATTACCTCCCCTATGCTCCTTATACTTCTGTCATTAATATTATATTTCAGTTTCATATGTATTTGTTGCCTAAGATATTTACACCTGTATACCTACGCAGAGACACAAGCATATACATTGTATCTTTCTGTCCAAACAAATAGGTATGTGTGGGGCTATGCTGATTTGCCATTTTAACAAAGTTCAGGTAGCGCTTTGATAGCAGTAAATATAAAGCCTGATAATGTTTTTGTGTTATGGTCCTATTGTTCTGCCTTGGCCAGTGCCTGTTTTTTATTTTACTTGAAATAATTATTTGGATGTTAGTTTTTCCCCAACTTGTGAACATATCTCTAATGCAAGTATAAATAATGTAAATGTACTCTGTATTTCTTTTTATATGAGGGCCCAGTATTTAGCAGGGGTGTCAGATCTTTGGCTTCCTGGGCCACATTGGAAGAAGAATTGTTTTTGGCCACACACTAACAAAAGCTGATGAGCTAGGAAAAAAAAAAAAAGTCTCATAATGTTTTAAGAAGGTTTACAAATTTGTGTTGGCCACATTTAGAGCCTTCCTGGGCCACATGCAGCCCGTGGGCTGTGGATTGGACAAGCTTGATTTAAAGATACAAAATTGCAAGAGAAATTAAGTTTGAGAGGAAAATTCAGTAAAACCAGGAACTAAAATTTATAAATCCCTTATTTTAGGGTGAAATATTGCATATAGAGAACATTTTCATTTATTGTAATACTTCAATTATAATTAATTTTTATTATTTTAATATAGATTTTGACAGTTTCAAATTTAATATAATGTTTCTCCAATCAGAGTCTAAAATTGACATTTTGAGAAAACTATAGATGATTTTTACACTAGAGGAATTCTAGGTTTAGTTTCTGTCTTGTTTTATTGGTAGAATTGATGTAATATAGATTTTATTTAAATAATGGTTTTTGTTATTCAGCATTTATAATCTACTTGTTCTTTGTTAAAACAGTTCTCGGTTTGGAAGAAAAGCAAATGGTTCCAGAACACCAAAACTGTTATCACTTATGTAGTGAGAAAATGCTTGTTTTGTTAAGAAAAAAAGAGAGAGACTGTAAAAGTAAACCCTTTTCTTCTAATTTTGATAATTGGCCAATATTTTAAAGATTGTATGTGGTAATAATAAGGTGTGCACAAGTTACTTTGAATATAATTGTATATGGCATTTTTGTAAAAGTAGGCTGTAAAATGTGTGTCCGAAGGCTGTGGAACCCCATAATGCACTATTAGTGTACAAGTCATTTTATCTGGCTAAAACTCAATTGCCTTTAGCCCTCAAGGCATCAATTTTAGCATTATTGCTCTCAACAACAGTATATTGAATATTATGTCAGTTAAAGGAGAATAATTATCAAGGCAGGTTAGGGTGGCTGTTAGTCTTACCACATATTGACTTGGTTAGCAGTTGGCTATAGATTGTGTTCCTGGGCAAATGAAGATGTACGGTAAGTTGAACTAGTCAAACCAGGGTATTAATTTAACTCTCTGTGGGACCAAGCCTGCATCCTTTATGTGTACACAGCTACTCCTCCCTTCTGAGATACCTCTGAATGTGGAAGAATGACAGTTGTCTGATCTGATTTTGAATTTTTGGATGTAGGGGGAAGAGGGGAGCAGAACTTTCAAAACTGTGTGGTTAATGAAGAGGTTATTATTAGAAAAAAGGAGATGATAGTGATGCTACAGATACATTTAAAAGGCTGGCACATTGACCAAGGATCCTGTACTTTTCTAATAAAATTAATTTTCACCTATGTGAGTATCTGTATAATTCACAAGGTAGTCAGTTGGGTATAAAATGCATTACATAACTTGGACTACAACTACTTAAGAAGTCAGGTAATATATAAAGAACTCAATATTCTCCTGTGTACTTACTAAAGTATTTATTCAGAAAGTATAGAAAAGGTAAGTTAGCTCTTAAGCATTTTCCAGACAACAACAAAAATGGGAATATGCAATTAGATGCTAAAATCTAAATACAAAGGAGAATATGATGTTTTTTCTACTACTAAAAAATAATTCTGGCCAGGCGTGGTGGGGTCATGCCTGAAATCCCAGCACTTTCGGAGGCCGAGGCAGGCGGATCACTTGAGGTCAGGACTTTGAGACCAGCCTGGCCAATATGGTGAAACCCTGTCTTTACTAAAATACAAAAATTAGCTGGGTATAGTGGCACGTGCCTGTTAACCCAGCTACTTGGGAAGCTGAGGCAGGAGAATTGCTTGAACCTGGGAAGCAGAGGTTGCAGTGAGCCAAGATTGTACCTTTGCGCTCCAGCCTGGGCATTGTGGTGAGACTCCACCTCAAAAAAAAAAAAAAGAAGAAGAAGAAGAATTCTTAGTTCAAGTCTGTATCTCATGATACATTTATTGACCATGAATAGAAGCAGTCGCCCCCTCTTTTGTCCTTTCCCCATTTTCCCCTCTGTCCTTGACTTAGGAAATAAGAACATAGGTGATTATCGTTGTTGAATTTAGTCATTTAAAAATCAAGTTTTCACAGTCTCTTTCAGTTTGAACGTATAACTGACTTGCCTGGGCTCGTCCACCAGCCTGTCTGTGGAAATCTCCTCATTTGCAGGTGGGTCCTGCCAGAATTCAGAGAAGCAGTTGAGACACTCTGAATATTTAGCTGTGGTGTCAGCAGCCTTATAAGAAAAGCAGTAGAAAAAACTCTATAAGAAAACTCTCCTGTGTCTTACCAGCACAATTGGGACATTAGAAGAGCATTTCTCAAAGACAAATGGAGCCATCCGTCTTTGAGAGGTCCAGCTTTGGATTTGGGAGTAACTACATACTAGATCCTTCTCTTAAGCTTCATGATACACATTAGTATAACACAGGCTCTGAGGAGGTCTAGAGTACGAGCCTATGAGAGTAGGGAAGTAGCTGTCTCCAACCCTTCCCACTTCATAAACTCTTCCCTTCAAGCTCATTTGAAGTACTTAGTTCCTGAACACACTCAGCTCTTCTCCCACATGAGCTATTTGCGTGTAAGATTTCTTTTGCCTGGAATACCCTACTCGTGTCTCTGCATGGGTAATTTCTTCTCTTTTAGGCATCAGCCAAAGTCTCACTTTCTTACAGAGGACCGTCTTAGCCAATGTAGGTCTTTTCTGGTGTAGCTCTATCTTAAGACTCTGTTTCCTTCAAACTCTTATCACAATTTAAAATCAGTCAATTAAGTCAACTGTTGAAATGTTTATTTT